GTGCCAGGTGCTGCTATCTATGTGCAAAGCCATTGAGAAGCAAATCTGGCCTTTCCAACATCCTTTTCACCAGTTTGATCTCCCGGTACCGGTTTTGAAGAATTTAGACGACAAAGCCCCCTCGTCGAATATTGAAAGCCTGCGGGAAATGGAGCCGGCTGAAATTGGAAGTCTTGTGCACAATCACAAAATGGGTACTACCCTGACGAAGTTGCTGGACAATTTTCCTACCATGTCTGTCGAGGCAGAAACTGCACCGCTTAACAGGGATGTGCTCCGCATGAGGTTATACCTCTACCCAGAGTTTGTCTGGAATGACCGTCACCACGGTACCTCTGAGGCATATTGGGTATGGGTTGAAAATTCGGAGACGTCAGAAATCTACCATCACGAGTATTTCATCCTGAGCCGGAAGAAGATGCACGATAATCACGAACTCAACTTCACCATCCCGCTGGCTGATCCTTTGCCTTCTCAGATATATGTCAGAGTTATATCGGATCGTTGGCTGGGAGCAGAGACTGTGCATCCGGTCTCTTTCCAACATTTGATACGACCAGACACTGAGAGTGTGTATACAGATCTTCTAGATCTACAGCCGCTTCCGATCACCGCACTGAAGAATCCAGCACTAGAAGAGCTCTATGGACAACGCTTCCAGTTTTTCAATCCAATGCAGACTCAGATTTTCCATACCTTGTATCATACTTCGAATAACGTCCTCTTAGGTTCGCCAACTGGTTCTGGGAAGACTGTTGCCGCAGAGCTAGCTATGTGGTGGGCTTTCCGTGAGAGACCGGGGAGTAAAGTCGTGTACATTGCACCTATGAAGGCGCTTGTTCGCGAGAGAGTGCAAGACTGGCGCAAGCGGCTCACGGTTCCACTGGGTTTGAAACTGGTAGAGTTGACCGGCGACAATACACCAGATACCCGGACCATTCGCGATGCAGATATCATCATCACCACCCCCGAGAAATGGGACGGTATATCGCGATCATGGCAGACCAGGTCTTACGTTCGTCAAGTTTCGCTTGTCATTATCGACGAGATACATCTGTTGGGTGGTGACCGCGGACCCATCCTCGAGATCATCGTGTCAAGAATGAACTACATTGCATCGCAAGCAGACAGCGGATCCATTCGTTTGGTGGGGATGTCAACCGCATGTGCCAATGCCACCGACCTTGGAAACTGGCTCGGGGTCAAACCCGGAAACAACCAAGGGCTCTTCAACTTCCGCCACAGCGTTCGTCCTGTCCCACTCGAGATATATATCGACGGATTCCCTGAGCAGAGGGGATTCTGTCCATTGATGCAAAGCATGAACCGGCCAACCTACCTAGCCATAAAAAACCACAGCCCTGACAAGCCGGTCATTGTATTTGTGGCATCGAGAAGACAAACTCGTCTCACGGCCAAAGATCTCATCAATTTCTGTGGCATGGAAGAGAATCCCAGAAGATTCCTGCATTTTGACAATGAAGATGATCTTCAGCATACCCTCTCCGCCGTCAAGGATGCCGCGCTCAAAGAAGCATTGAGCTTTGGGATCGGACTGCATCATGCTGGGCTGGTCGAGTCCGATCGTACACTCTCTGAGCAACTTTTTGCTGCGAACAAGATCCAGATCCTCGTCGCCACTTCAACGCTCGCGTGGGGTGTCAACCTGCCTGCTCACCTCGTTGTTGTCAAGGGAACACAATTCTTCGATGCTAAGATTGAAGGATACAAAGATATGGACTTGACCGACGTGCTTCAGATGCTAGGTCGAGCAGGACGACCACAATTTGACACGTCGGGAATTGCTCGGATCTTTACCCAGGACTCAAAGAAGGCCTTTTACAAGCATTTCCTACATACTGGATTTCCCGTGGAGAGCTCGTTGCATAAAGTCCTTGATAACCATCTGGGCGCCGAGGTCTCCGCTGGAGTCATAACCACCAAGCAAGATGCCCTCGATTACTTGACCTGGACTTTTTTCTTTCGCCGCCTTCATAAGAACCCAACATACTACGGTCTTGAGATCTCAGCAGAAGAGCACAAGGAGAATCAGCTTGCTGCAAGACAAGCTGCGGCAGATTACATGATCACATTGGTAGACAAGTCACTCGACGATCTCGCAGAAAGTGATTGTGTTCTGGTACACAACAACGGAGACGTGGATAGCACTCCATTTGGCAAAATCATGTCATATTACTATCTCAGCCACTTGACGATTCGCAAGTTCCTGTCGAACGCCCGCAGAACCACCTCTACAACCTTTGCAGACGCTCTAGCTTGGATTAGCCTGGCAACTGAATTTGACGATCTTCCTGTGCGGCATAATGAAGACCTTATCAACGCGGAGCTGGCCAAGAACTTACCTCTGGATACCGAAGGCCTGATGGAGAATCTGCCAATGTGGGATCCTCATGTCAAAGCATTCCTTCTCATCCAGGCGTTCATGGCCCGTATCGACCTCCCTATTTCCGACTATGTTGGTGACCAAATCTCGGTATTGGACCAAGGCATTCGTATCATCCAGGCCGGAATCGACGTCATGACGGAGCTCAACCGGTTTGATGCTGTGGTGCAAATGGTGAAACTACTGCAATGTATCAAGTCTGCTCGATGGCCGGAGGATTATCCACTGAGCATATTGCCCGGTGTGGATGAGATGTTTGACGAAAAGCTCGAGGGCAAAGTTCCCAAGGATTTGGTCACGACGGCTGTGCTGTCCACAAAGCATGGAGCGAAGACGATTGAAGGGTTGATGAACGTGTTCGGAATAAAGGGCCACAATACACGAACGGCATTCATCAAAGCTGTGAATGCGCTTCCGGCCCTTGCTTTGTCTGCTGCGGGCGACACGGACAATCTGCAACTCACTATGAAACGCAGCAATCGGCTACTTGACCATGAAGGCAGAATATATGCCCCGAAATTCCCCAAACCACAGACAGAGGGCTACTTTGTACTTGTGCTGCCTCCTGGATCGGCGACAACCACCCATGGAATGGATATCTTGGCTTTGAAAAGGGCGAACTGGTCTACCACAAAACAGGGAACTCAAAGCAGGGTGGTAGGAACTGCAAACGTCAAGCTCAAGATCCCAGCGCCGGAATTTAACTTGGGAAGTGGGCAGGAGGAAATGAAAGTCGATATTCTCGTGATGAGCGATGCGTACCCGGGTATGGAGTGGCGGTTGGAGAATGTTGTTGTGCGGATTGCGCAGAAGACTGAGGGTTCTAGGACGGTAGAGGTCAATGTCGACGAGAGTCTGCTGAAGAAGAAATAGAAAACGGTCGGGAAGTAAAGGGCTTGCTTGCTAAGCATACTAGGTATGTTGACGACTTGACATCATCCGTTGACATTGGAAGGGTTGCATGCTATCTAGCAGCAAGGTACTACTTCATCTGACCTCCACCAGCACTCTTTCATAGACGATGCATCATCTCTTGATACAGACACACACACTAGTCCAAGCTGAGGAAGGAAATTGACGTGAGTGAAAGAAAGCCCTTGATGTGTGTGGCTCCCACGAGTTTGTCCCTGAGATGATCCTGTGCTCGTTCAAAACGGAACCCAAAGCCATCTCCTTTCCAAGAGTCGCGAGCCTATTCTGAACTGGGAAATCCTTTGACGCATTCTTTACCGTGTCGTGTCCTGTCACACCTATTGGTTCTGGTTAAGTGACTAAACCGAGTGTCTCAGACGGATGTACGGCGTCATGACACTGCTAGCACCCTTTCCGCCCTTTCCGCCCTCTCTCATCTCGCCCTCGAATATGGTGTGGTCTTCATCCCCTGCCTTGCCCTTTGCCAGCGCGTGGATTTCAACCATGACTTTCTTCTCTTCGTCACCATTGCCATTCGCCACGTTGCGCACATACCACTCGGCATACTGTCCCGGGGGATCCCGCTCCGTGTTGACAGTCGTCCACAAGTACTCGCTGTAGGGCTTCTCGGCGCAGGATTCCTGCAGGTTGAGGAACATGGTCGTGAAGGGTTTGAGCTTGAGTCTGTAGCGCGAGACTGCCGTCGTGACGACCGGCCACGCCTTGTTGAGCAGCGCTTCGACGGTCGTGGCGTCGGCGGCGGGGAATGTGAACGGGTCGACGGCGTATCTCTTGTTCAGGACGACGCGGCAGAGGATTTGCTTCTTCGTATTGGTCTTGTGCTGGTCGTGGTTGTCGTCTTCGTGGTTACTGTCCAACATTTCTTGCGCAGGGGGGTTTTTGTCGACGGCTTTTGGCGTCGCCGGTGAGCATGGTGGCGGTGGTGGGACCTCATGATTCTCCTCGTCGGTCCAGTCCATTGCGGTGTTTTCAATACGTTTGAAGTGAGAAAGATGGCTGAGGCTGTGGCTTTGTTTCCGTGTAGTTGTGATGAGAAGAAAAATAAGAAGGTGAAAAAAAGGAAAGTCAGGTATTGTGTGTCTGTGTTTGTGTTTGTACATGACAAGGCACTCAGACAGGAGGGGTGCGGTATGTATTTGCGTGCGTGTGTGAATATATGTGAAAGTGTTTGTGTTTGCCTTACCTTGCCTGATCAAATGTACCCAGGATTGCTGCTTCACTCGAGGCCCATCTGTCCGTGAATACTTGTTTGTCAAACGACCCTGAGGACATGTTACTATCTATAATTCAATAAGTCCCACGTCATGATAATGGAAGTCATGGTGCCTGATTCATCTCGCAACCTGCTACAAGGTGTTTCTTGCGTGTTACCCGAGAGGGACCCTCTATTTTCTCACAGCCTCGTGCAGCCTCGGCGCGTACCAGACACCCTGCGCCATTGTTGGCGTTTGCGGCGAAGGGTGTATGCGTTGTCTTGCAGAACCGGGCCTGAAACATGAAACACCGATCGAGGAGAGGTAGAATCTCAATAAGTGATGAGGTAGCTTACCCTGCTGTTGAAATACTGCTTATCCCAACGCGATTTCGGGTGATTCAGTTGAAGTGGCCCCTAATAGGTTAAATTATCGATAGGATGGGATATTGATTAGCGTACAACACAATTTCAGACTATACCTGGAACTCCATACTTGGCTGAGAAACCGGCAGCGACTATGTCTAGCACAGAATCCTCGATCGGGGTGTATATGATCGAATTCCAACCCTTCATCGTCTCCCGCTCCAGAGGACCGCCTTTCTGGTCCACCATTATTTTCAGTATTGCAACTGCATCATTGATATCGACCTCTCTTCGTTCAGATCCTATTCGTTTCAATTTCCGAGCGAGCGACCACTCCCACTTAACTGCATAGATGACCAAATTCTTCCCATGCCAGAGAATCACTTGCTGTTCAATCGATTCCTGAAAAAGTCTCATCTTAGTTCCGCCCACAGCAAAGACCTCCATGTGCGCGTTGATCCATTCTTCGCTGATTTTTCTCTTGTCGGCGACGGTACGGATTGCTTTTTGGAGCTTCTCCTTTATCTTTCCCAAATTTTCGATATTTGGATCGATGATATAGTCGATATCTTCGGTAGCGGAACGGTTCCCAAGGTGGCTAACCGCAACAAAGCCTCCTGCGCTGAGCAGCCTGACAGGGGCAATCTTTCCCAAGTTTTTGGACTTCCCAATCTCCCCGTCTAGATCAGCGAGCGCTGATAGCTTGTCAGACGACTTTTATCAACCAATGTATAGAACATAATCAATAGTGATCTAACCTTCAGCAAAGTCATCTACGGTAAATCTGAAAGGTTGTTCAGTAGCCATCCGAATATCTCTCGAAAGAGCCTAGCGCTTCGTGGGATCTCGGCAGAGTCGTTAACTTTCTCGCGGAAGTCGCGGGGGCCAAAGCTTAGCACCCACCAAGGAGCTTCTAGCTGCTCGTCTGTTCAAGCTACTGTTCATTCATCAATCTATTCATGAACAAACGCTTCAACATGCCATACCTTCAACACATGAGGCTGCAACCGCTGTAGTGCTTTCATGACGCACCTGATCAATGCCAGCCTGACCAGCACCAGCTACTTGGCATCAGAGCCTAACGAATCAGCGCTCCCAAGCGACTTAGCGCCTTGGCACAAATGTGTCCTTTGTTCCACGACAGAGCTGTGACAATTTTACCCGATGCCACCAAAGCTTACAAACACTCTGAATGTTTGACGGACATCTCAAGTCATAGAGGCAATCAAGTCTCTACTTGCCAAACCTTCTCCACCCTCTTTATCGCATCTTTCGATCCTTAGCCCAGAATAATGGCTCCACGTATTCTCACCATCAGCAAATCTCCGCTCCAAATACGCACCTCTATCGGCCGCTTATGGACCTGTCGTAGGCCATGGAGACTCTTGCTGCGTCTATTATGGCCGTTCCCATGGCACTTTCGATTAGAAGCTCGACCCACTGTGGCAGAGCTCGAGCGAGATGGGGCGATGCTACGAGATTCACAGCAGCAAGGCATCATGCAACTCCGCCGAATCCCCATCTTCCGAATGCGAGACACACCGCTACGCTCACTCTACCGTCTCTATGAAGATCTCTGCTCGGCTGATCTGATCATGATGGGATACGAGTGCGATTACTTTTTCTTCCACAACGAACATTCCTGGCGACTCTGCCGAGTGCCGGATCCAAAAGACCCAGATCCGATAACCTATGCCATCCTTGCTAGTATGGTCGAGGCTCTGGTTGACGCGTTCAACTGGCGTCTGGAACTTGGACTTCGACGAGATAAATCGATGGATGAATCTGAGCAAAGGCACACCAATTTCAGCCGGGAAGAAGCTCCAAGCTGGACCGCAGCCGTACCTCCTCTTCCTGAGACATTGCAGCTCGACAAAGTTGAGACGGGAACCCTGGACTCGTCTTTTCTAAAGAGAAATATCAGGGCTCCAAAAGGATATCTATATACTGTGTGACTAGTTGATTGGATATCTTGCTCTGATCGGTCTTGGTGTGAGTGCTTGACCTTCGTGGTATGACAATGTCGAGGGTAGATGCTGTGTTTTGATCCCAAAGCTGAATCTGCTAGAGCGTGTGGGTTGAAAGAGTGACTGAAGGCGGCCCCGTCACTCCATCATCTATTATTCTGGTTCCCCCGACTCAACCATCAACTCTGACGACATCCTTTTACAGCGGATCTGTGATGCTTTTCGCGCTCGCAACGAAATCTCAAAATGAATCAGCAACTTCGCAGTGACAACCTGCACCTGACAGAATTTCGTGAAGAAGGGCCTTCACATGTCTTCTGGAAGTCTACTGGGGTTCCAGGTGCACAGCAATTTCGGATTTTGTAGGCCGCTTTGGGTGTACTTGGATACCTCTCTGCTGCTGGCATACCCTATTGGCCACTAGACATCCGTTTGTCCATCTAAATCCCCGTTAGCTATTCCATATCTCTTTCAGCGACTAGGATCCCCTTTAAGCTAATTCACACCCTCTTCCGCCTCCTTGAGTATCCCCTTCCGTTCCCCCGTTCCACCGTCCGCTTCAAGTCCGGTCCGTCTCACTCGGTGATTGTTCTCCGAGTCTGCGCACTTTTACAACACCCAACACCCGCCGGAGTCTCAGTTCTCCGAAGTATCCCGGACGATCCGAGAGAAAGGTCCTCATCTCGATCTTGTCTGTCCCACTACTATCAGACACGGTGGCATTGGGTGTTCGAAGCATGTTAGAACCGATTGATTTTACCCCACACAAGGCTCGCGCGCGCAAGGCTGAGTTGCGCCATGATACCCACTCAGTCTGACACATGGTATTTCTCACGCCTGTACAGTCGCTGAGGTAGAGGATCAGGCATTGATAACAGGTTGCTCCGGGATAGAACGCTCAGGAGTCTGAGTCCGTTCTGCTTTCGAACGGCCTTTTCAACACGAAGGATGCACATAAGGGGCAAAAGGGGGTAATCCTAAAAACAAAGAAAAGGTTCCCCCACGGAAGAGAAGATATTGCAGAGTGGATGGCGTCAACAGCTGAACTCTTGGACCAAGATCAAGAGCCTGGACCTGTTGCTGGAGGGCATTATCTCGCAACGAGACGTGACTGACAGCTAGCTAGCGCGACGGATAGATAGATAGAAACTCCTCTGGCCATGGCGAAACCCTAATAGCTTGGCCAAAATCCATTCTTTCATTTCCCCGACCCTTTTTTCATTCCTTTCTCGTTTTCTTCTACAGCTCCAAAATCTCCACGGGGACCTCGACCGTTTTCGCCCGGATATAGTCTGCAAACGCTTTCCCCAGGGAATCGAGCAAGGTGCTCGCCAGCACGCCGCGCCCGAGGATGCCGTAGACGACGAAATGCACGGCCTTGATCTCGGGAAATTCCATCCGCTCGATAAAGTACGAGTCGCGCCAGTCGTCCCCGATCAGCTCCTGCAGCTTCGCCCGCGACATGTACCCGCGGAACCAGTCCCAGTGCGCCGGGTTGCGCGGGTAGATGCCAAAGTTGCAGTTGGCGCCCTTGTCACCGGAGCGGCCGTAGGCGATGTCGCCCAGCGTAACGGTGCGCGTGGGGCCTCCTGGGCTACGCGGGGTGTATGGCGTGGCGTCGAAATTGATCCGGCGTTCGAGGTGGTAGAACTCGGCGGGGAGCTTCGCGGGGATGGTCTGCGCGACTTTGCCGTCGGGGCCGAGAATGTGCGCGGCTTCTTTGAGAGCAGTCTGGTCGTACAGACCCGGGTAGAAGGATATATACGGCTTGGGGTGCGCGGTGCGGTAGTCGAGCGACCAGTGTAGTCCTGGATTTTGATATCAGAATGGATCGGACCATGATGATGGTTGGAAAGAGATCTATCCCGGAAGGGGTTTGGTTTGGGGAATACTTGCCGTGAAAGTGCTGCATTACATGGTCTGCCCAGGCAGAGAATATTTGAGCAACAGGCTCTTCTGTCGGCGCCTGTGCAAAGACACGACAATAGGTTGTGCTGCGGAGCTGGCTTCGTGGATTGTGCTCCGGTACACCGACACTTTGGTAGGGTTGAGATTCATGTTAGCTTTTGAGAGTTCGAGGGAATTAAATAGAGTACATGTTTGGCTCAACGCAAATGAGTTTTTACTCACATCTGAAATTCGAGGTGGTCAAACTGGTCCAAAACACCCTTCTCGTTGAGGAAGAACCGCATCTGCTTCTCGAACAACTGCCACTTCTTGTCCGTCGCGTATCCGGCCGCGTTGGCCAAAAGCTGGCATTGATACCCTGCGTCGTAGAACACAGCGAGCTTCGTCGTCGGAGGCGGCGGGTAGCCCTTGATCCCCGACATTTCGACGCGGTTCTTGCCCACGTCCCTGATGGCGATATTGGTCGTGTCGGCGGAAACATCGCTGTTCAGGTAGATGGCGCCCTGGATCTCGTAGAGGAACTGGCATTTGATGGTGTCTGCGTTGACGACGCCCTTTTCGGTGTTTTCATGCTTGGTGATCACCGCGGTTCCGTCTTTGGCCACCTCGGCGATGCCGAAGGGGAGGTCTACCAATAGGTCCAGGTCGAACTGGTCGAAACCGGCGAAATTGGCGCCCGTCGTGTATGCTGAGCATTCGATCAAGTGGCCCGCGATAAGGGCGCTCGCGAGTTGGTCGTAGTCTGTCGGCTTCCATTGATGCCAGTACCACGCGGCAGCAATCACTGGAGAAGCGTCGGCGACTCGACCTGCGATGACGATATCTGCGCCGCCGTCGAGGGCCCCTACGATCCCTCTCGCCCCAAGATACGCGTGCGAGGTGATGACGGGTCTGGATTGGTAGTCCTGGAGGGCAACGGCCAGTTTTTCGACCTTGACATCGGGATTGTTCGAATCGAGATGAGCAGGGATTTGACCAGTGCGAGTGATTTGGTCCTTTGTCTCCTCAGTCAGATCGTCGCCGGAGAGATAGGCGACTTTGAGGGAATAGCCTTTCTCGTTGACCTATGTATGTCTTGGTCAGAGAGCTCCTATGGTCTGGTAGAGAAGGAATGTGGTCATGCATGTAGTAAAGTCTTACAAGTTGCTGGACTTTGGCTGCAAGGCCTCCAGGGTTTAGAGCTCCTCCGTTGACAATGACCTTCAACTCCTTCTGAGCGATCAGATCAATGGTTTGTACGAAGCCGTCCCAGCAGGTCGGTTCCCAGCCGTCGTGCAGGCCGGCGTCCATTCCCTTTTTGTTTTCTGGGAGATTGATCTCTGTTCCCGCATTTATGCGCGAATCCATCAGTGCTAGTCTTGACAATGCCGGAATCTCACAACATGGCTCAGCACTTACCCGCGAGATAGTCGCCCGTCAAGAAATCAACGTCACCCCATTCCGCCTGTCGACGCATGTGGTACCCGGGGTCGGCTGAGGAATGTTAGTCTCGCTGCCCGCCTCGATATGAATCCAGTCGCTTGGGAATACGGACTTCTGGCACCTGACACATTGGCGATCCTGGCCGGCCGCTTGCCTCGCTGATCCCATCTCGATTCTTTGACAATCATGGTCAAGGGTGGAAGATGTCGACAGACTGTGTTGGTTTCGTGAACAAAATGACGAACGAAATTATTGAGTGAGAGAAGGGATATTCATTAAGAAGGACCCTCGATGAAAGCGGAGATATGCTTTGCCATCTTCGGTTCTCCAAGTCGTTCAGAGACGTGTGTGTGGTGACCTTTGGCTTTCCACCCGGCTCTGCCACTCCCCAGACTCGGTATTCATTCTCCTTCCCCACTGGCATTATCCACAAACATGGAGAATTGATGCCTGGAAAGTTGCAGGGTTGGAGGGTTGGACCGCAAGCGTTAAGCGGAAGATTCAGCTACTACGGTCTCCTTGATGGCTATGAAGGATAGATGAGCGTCTCTAGTCTGTATCTCACATCTCTCGTAATATCCTACTACTGTCATGAGCCTATGGGTCCAGAATACGAGCTATTGATCTGCTTCAAGAGTTAAGACGAAAATATCATACTGGATGTCGTTATATAAGTTCGTGTAATGCCCATAACCAATTGAAAAAAAAGATCGTCTCATTCTAATATGAACTGTTCAACTCTCGCATTGTCGAAGGAGCGACAGGCTGTATTGTCTTTTTATAGCCCCAAGGCTGCTTTGTTCTTCAGGATGCGCTGGGTCCAACATAGGAACCTTACTATATTCACTTGATCTGCCACACTGTTCAAGGATGCTATCTGACAAGTCCAGGTCGGGACAGCATCTTTCCACGAATACAAAAGCTCCAGATCTTATGATACACCACCCAGACCGCACCTGTTCTGGAGAGAGAGTCACAGCGGTCCTGAATCCCAGAAGAACTGATGTTGACACCCTCGGCTGCTTGTGCGGGGGGTTGCCGACCCATAAAATCCCCACTGATCCCACTTCTCTTTATATACTTCTGCTACCATGCACAGAAGTACTCGGGGTGCTCGTACCGTAATACTCCAGGTTCCCCTCCACTACGCGTCCCTCCTCTCTATCCGCTAGCAGGTGTCTATCAATCAAGTTGATTGGACAGACTCTTGCCAACTGGGGTGGATGTTCCCAAGCTCGGAGATCGAACCTCCGAGCTCTCGACTTCTTGCCACGCAAGGTTCACGGGCAGGGAGATGATATACCGCAAGATTCCTACAGCGGGGAAGTCTCTGGAAGACATAAGACCTGGTTCGTGCTGTTGGTGCTGGATTCTCGGTTCACAATCCTCCAGACCGGCTTGCCGCATCATATAGGACCATTGTCATTCCAAGTTTGTGAAGTAGCATATAAAAAGGTTGTGACGTTGTATTACGAGGCACACCTTCCTTTCATCTCCTTTTCTCAAGGTCCAAAACAGCATCATCTGCTCGTTTCACCTCTTATCACACAATGCCGTCCATCCAAAATCGTGCCGTGCGGATCGGAGGCTGTGAAGGAGGAATCACAGACCACCATGGAGTTCTGGCACGCATGGCTCAGAACGAAGACGTCGACGTTATATTCGGCGACTGGATGAGTGAGTACAACATGACCACTCGGGGTGCGGAGAAGTTACAAGACCCGAAAGCACTGGGCTATGAATCGGTTTTCCTTCAATCACTGGAACCGGCATTGGAGCACCTGGCGGCCAAAAAGATCAAGCTCGCAGCCAACGCGGGGGCCTCTGGTACGGAACTCCTCACCAAACATGTCAGAGAAATGATCGCCAGGAAGGGTTTGAATTTGAAAGTCGCTTGGGTGTCAGGGGACGAAATCCCAATCGAGGACCTCAAGGCCTTGCATACCAAGGGAGACAAGCTGCAGAGACTTACCACGGACAAGGACTTTTCGACTTGGGAGTTTGACCCTATCTATGCGCAGTGCTACCTTGGTGGACGTGGCATCGCAAAGGCTTGGGCTGAGGGTGCTGATATCGTCCTCACCGGTCGAGTGTCTGATCCAGCTCCCGTCATTGCCGCTGGCCTCTGGTGGCACGGCTGGGATGAAAACCAGTTGGATGAACTCGCTGGTGCTCTTGTTTGTGGCCATCTGATCGAATGTGGCGCATACGTCTGCGGAGCCAACTGGTCGGGATTCAAGTCTCTCGGTACTGGTAAAAGCATTCTCAACCTGGGCTACCCGATTGCAGAGCTTGCCCAGGATGGGACGTGCATCATTTCCAAGGAGCAGGGGTCCAACGGCATTGTGTCGATCGAAACCTGCAAGAGCCAGCTTCTGTATGAGATCCAGGGCCCGTGGTATTTCAACTCTGTAAGTCTTACCTTCGAAAGCCACAACAATCTAGATCTGAGTTTAGAACTGATGATCCCGCTTAGGATGTTGTCGCCGAGCTCTCGAACGTCCGTATGGAGCAGCTTGGTCCAAACCGTGTCAAGGTCTCGGGCGTCAAAGGCCTCCCGCCACCACCCACTACCAAGGTCGGCGTCACTGCCATTGGCGGCTACCAGGCCGAGACTCACTTCTACGTGGTCGGCCTAGACGTTGAGGAGAAAGCAGCCATGTTCGAGACGCAGATCCGAGACGTCCTTCCAATCGACAAATACCACTGTTTCAGGGTGTCTCTGAACGGCAGGAGCCCTGACAACCCGCGCAGTCAAGAGTCTGCCACGTGCGACCTCCGCGTCTTTGCCCAAGCCCGGAACGCTGATGATCTGGCGACTTCGGTCTTCTTGCAGCCCGTCGTGGACACGGTCATGCAGACGTACCCTGGCGCGCAGTTCAGCCTGGATATGCGCCAAGGCACGCCCAAAGTGTATTATGTGAGGATTATCCCTTTTGTGAAAATGTCTATGTGATGAAAGAATCATCCGACTGACCTGAGACTTCTGTTGTTCGCAGGAATTCTGGGTAGCATTGATCCCTCAGGGAGTCGTCTCCCACCAGCTCCACCTCCCAGACAAGACGATCGACATTCCCACCCCGACCAAAACCCAAACCTACCCACGTCACCAACCTTCGTATGACCCTGAAAACCCACGCCCATTGACGTCCTGGGGTCCGACGACCACGGCTCCGCTGGGATATATCGTGCATGCCCGGTCCGGAGACAAATCGTCCAATTGCAACGTCGGCTTCTACGTCCGCCACGCGGACGAGTACGAATGGCTCAGGTCGACGCTGACCATTGCCAGGGTCAAGGAGCTTCTCGGTGAAGATTACAAGGGCGGACTGGTCGAGAGGTTCGAGCTACCAAATATCTGGGCTGTCCATTTCTTGTTGCTGGATCACTTGGACCGTGGCGTTGCGAGTAGCAGCACATACGACATTCTCGGCAAGAACCTCGCCGAGTATCTGCGGGCCAAACATGTTGAGATCCCGACAGCGTTCTTGGAAAGAGGCAAGATCTAGAAGAGATCCACTGGATACGAATCAATTTGTAATTGAGGCCAATTGTCTGTCCCAACGAGGTGGGCTCGCGGGATTCGTTCTAGAACTCTGGAGGCATGAAAACTTGACATTGTCTTCTGATTCCGAGTAAGGGCGTGGGGAAATGACCAGAAACGGGCATAGAATGGAGAGCTATACCAAATACGGGTTAAATGTGGAGTCGCCTAAAGTGACGGGGATGTCGCCTACAACGAAGAGTCATCTCGATGGCACGTTGAGCGAACCCTTCCACATGGCGTAGAAAAAGCCCCCAATCATTTATACTGTGTTGTATGGTGTGTCGTCGTGGTCCTATGGAGCCATCGGAGCCAGTGCAAATCCGTCTATTCATCTCTGTTCTTGATTGAGCAAGTTCTTGCGATGTAGCTGACACCGGCCCAAAGATGCCGACGTGCTCTCTTTTGCGCAGTTATGTCAAGAAATGGAATCCTTCTGCGTGGTTCATTGCAATAAATGTCTAAAGTGTCCCGGACCTTGCGACAGCCTGTTTACTTCGTCAGAATCCATTCTTGACTGTGGCTGACCCGAAATGCCTTCAACAGTCAAGCTTGCAGAGTACCTGTTCACACGTCTTCATCAGCTTGGAGTGCGCTCCATCCACGGCGTCCCTGGCGACTACAACTTGACTCTCCTGGACCACATTGAGCCATCGGGACTGCACTGGGTGGGCAACTGCAATGAGCTGAACGCTGGATACGCTACCGATGGGTATGCGCGGATCAATGGCCTCGGAGCACTGATCACCACTTTCGGGGTTGGAGAACTTTCTGCTATCAATGCCATCGCTGGCGCATATTGTGAACGCTCAGCGGTGGTGCATGTGGTTGGCACGCCCGAGAGATCTGTCCAGGATTCCCGTCTGAAGGTCCACCACACGTTTGCAGACGGGAATTTTGACCGTTTTGCCCAGATGCACGCCCAGATCACGGCCGCGCAGGCGAGTCTCTGGGATCCCCTATCGGCACCAGAGCAGATTGATGCGGTGCTAAGACAGTGTCTATTGCAGAGCAGGCCGGTCTATATCCAGGTGCCGGTGGATTTGGTGGATGCACCCATCGAAGCAGACCGATTATACTCACAGTGTCTGTCTGCGGCTGTCACTTCGATAAACAGCACCATCACACCTGCCCACGACACGGTGCTGTCGCTCGTGCTGGAGAAGATCAAGACGGCAAAGCACCCGACCATCCTGGTTGACGGTGAGAGCAGAGCCCTCGGAATCACCGAGGACGTCCAGCACATCGTCCGACTCACAAAGTGGCCTACCTGGGTCACCGTTTTTGCAAAGGGCCTTGTGGACGAGACGGCTCCCAATGTCCACGGCGTCTACCGGGGCAGCTATGACCCCAAGGCAAAGGCATTCGTGGACAGCTCTGATCTCGTATTATGTTTCGGCCCTCACTTCAGCACTACCAACACCTTCGACTCGACGAGCATCCCCCCAGAAGCCGTCACCATCAGCTACACGGATAATGAGGTACGGATAGGCGAGCAAATCTTTCGCGACGTCCGGGCCCGGGCCGCGGTGTCCCGCCTGCGCGAGGAGCTGAGTGTTCTGGCACCGACGCTGCCAGCGGTACCAGGACCGGAATTTCCAGAGAAACGTCCGATGGTGTGCCATTCGCTACTTCCAAGCAGAC